GCTAAGATCCCTCGTGATATTTTTCAATGTACATATAGACACACACACGACAACGGACGATAATGATGCCGACTGCCCCGACTTTTCCCCCTCACTCCCCTCTGGCTGGTGACTGGTCCGAAATTATTTATGAACCGCATTCGCATAATTATGACTTATACTCTTTTAATCTTTGACGGGGCAACGCGGCGTATGCGCAACGCGGACTTTGACTGAGGCGAACATATGTGCCATTAATTTGCAAGTAATTAAAATGCCTTCAAATTACTGCAATCCAAATACAAAACAAAAGCAATGCCCGCGAGTATCTTATGCTGAATGCAGCCCAATTTCATTTAGTTTGGCGATTCGTTTGCCAAAAAGGCGAAAGGCGGCGAAAATAAAACACTCGCACATCTCTGGCTTTCGCTGTCGTGTCAATTGCGTCATGCAGTGCACATTGTGTGCCACAGATTGTGCCAAGTTTTCAAATATAAATAAAAGTTATATGCGAAATGGTTGCTTCTTCCTCAGCTCTTGCGTTCGGCGACAGAAGGCGGCACAGCAATTAATGCAAAATAAAATGTAATTATATTGCCCGTTTAAAAATAATCGATTTAATTAAATTTAAAATTGCATTCAAAGCTAATTGAAAAGCAGCACCAAAGCACTGGCGTCGAAGGAAGGCGTCTGGCCGTGTTGAATAATCAGCTACTTAATGCCCATTTGGCCATGTGCTCTCAAGCATTTGGCAGTAATTGTTTGCAAAAGAAAAATGTCATAATTAGCGCCAAGGAAAATGGGATAAAAGAAGGATGAATCCAGCTTTTAATTGCAAACCTGCTTTTATTCAAGGAGGAGAAGTTAGTATGATTGTTTAAGGAACCAATTAAATTTCACTTGGATTCTATTATTTAATTTTAAACCTACTGATATAATTTAGGATGTAATGTAAATATAATAAGTTTTTCCAGGATAGCTTAGCTTGACTTTAGACAATTTTAAGACACATTTCAACAGCCATTTAGCATTAATCCCCACGACTTCTTGGGGATCGTTAAAGGAGCTGCTTGGCTTCCATAATGACTCCCGTGGCCATCTTTCAGCTGGTTGAACTTGGCCAAAGCTTTCCCGCTGAGTGTTAATTACCTAAGACCCATCCGCTTTCCCAAGAAAAATACAGAGGAGAAGAAATGGCGGGCGGAAATGCATCGTCGAGGACAACGACAACGACAACGAAAACATTTCATGGCACATTATTTTTATTAATAATTATTTCACATGCAGACCAGACGGGACCGCTTGTACATCAATTTTACATGAGCAGGGAGCCTCCTTTGGATGGGTTGTCATGGGGAATGGCTGTGGGATGTGGGATGTGGGATGAGGGATGTGGTTGGGTTCGGTTCGGTCCATGTTCCGGACACTGACAGCGACCGACGACGACGACGTTGACGCAAATCGAAAATGCCAACTGTGCTGTGAGCTCCTCGGTATCATTATTTCAATTCTGGTGTCGACAGATACAACATAGTATGACTTTTTGACTATATATTTATATGGGGTTCGCTCTGGGGTCTCGGGTTCTCTGCTTTAATAATAAGCCTTCAGGTGCAGCTGCAAATGAGCCATGAATTATTTTGCGCTGCACATAGATAATTGTAATTGCGGGTTTTTCTTTGGCTGTGTTAAAAATAAACCTCCCCAAAATTGTTGGCATGAAAGATGGTTTATGTAAGCCACGAAATGCTAATATTTTGCGGTATATCAGACCATGCCATAATGACGCTAATCCGACCCATATCAATGGCTTTCCAATTCGGTTTCTGGTCCTCGGGGGAATATTCAAATCTGTTTTTGTCCCCCCCCCCTTCTCAAACCGCTAATGACGTAAATAAATCAGGGTATTTCGAAGGGAAATGAAGACTTTAAGGTCTTCTCAAAAACTTCCACCAGGAATTAGAGCTTATTCTGGCTTTCGGGGTAAGCCTACTGGCCCACTTTCCCATCAATTTCATGGCTTTTTCTGGCCCGACCTGACACAATGTCTGGCAATTCTAACCCGATGCTGTGTGTGTTTTGATTTGGACGACCTTATCGACTACCAGCTCGTTTTTTTCCATCTCTTTGGGTTGACATTTTTCTTTATTTTTTTACTGCCCCTCTTCCTGCAGGCAGGACAAATAAAAAAGAAAAAAATCAAATGCGAGAATAAGGGAACTTGGTAAGGTTTTCCCTTTTTTTATATATAAGAGCACATGGAGAAATTGTAGCACTCTATTTTAGTTTTATCTAAGCTTTTTGAACTTGATCTTAACCATATTATAATATATTTTATTATTATCATATTATCATTAAGAAAATCACACTGTGCAGAAGGGTGCAAAGCAACTCGCTTTAAGATGATATTTAATCCAATTTTTTCTAAAAATCAAATTATTAAAATTCATAATTAAGCCAAAAAGAATTCATTTCAATTCGAAAGACTTTCCTATGCTAGTTTTTATTGGGTTAATAAATCTGCAAACTCAGTTTAAATAATCTGAGTAAATATCTGAGTAGGATAAAAATTATACGGAAAACAGAAGCTTGAATCAATTTAATTTTAAGCGAAACTTGAGTTATGTTTAAAACTGATTAAAGGGCTTCGTAGAAACTCTTTGTTTATTTTCAATTAATTTTCTTTTCGTGTAGATAACAGTTTTCCCGCAGAAGCTCAGAAGTATTTCCTTTTTCTTTACAATTCTTGGTCCTGTTGTTTGAGCATTTCCTTTTGTTCCTTGGGTTTGTGTTTGTAGTAAAAAGTAACAAATATGTGGCATTAATTTTTTCTTGTTCGCTTTTGTGTTTTGTTTTCAGACGCGTTGAAGAAAAAGAAAATAAATAAAAGAGACACAGACACAAACACACACTCATTGATACGAATGCTATGTGTATTAATATAAATAAAGCGAAAAAGTAAACGAGGAAAAGTGAAAAAATTGCGAACAACCAAAAAACTTTGGTCTTCCCCCCCGTTTACACCCCCTCGCTTTTCACTTAGCACGCCTGCTTGTCTGGCGCTGTCGACGTCGACGGCGAAGTCGCTTCGCTGCCCCCGCACGCGTTTTATTGTTTTCCGTTTTCCACGCTCATCGCTCGACGCTTTTCCGACGCTTTCCCAACGCCCACAAGCGTGTTCACCTTCTTTTTATGAATGAACGCGAATTTCTAGCCAGCGGCAGGAACAACAACAAGAATAAAGCTGGCAGTTGGACGCGTGAAATGTGCAAATGGAAAATCATTTAAAGGCAACAAAAGGCAAGTAACGCGAGCATAAGAACCTGGTCATAACGCCCACTGGCCTTTTGCATTTTCCAAAGTTTCAAGCAGCTATTAGGCTAATGAATACGCTGAAATTGGTAACAGGAACTGCAGTTTCACAGCTGAAGCCGGTTTCTATAGAGTATGTTTCATTATATTTATTACCCATTGTACAAAAATAAAACTATTTACATTTTTGTATACATTTAAGTATCAAAATTTGATTATAGAAACACTATTCTTTATTATGAAAGTTAATGACAATCATAACTAAAGCGTGATTTAATTTAAACCTTATCTAAACTAATATTGCCAGGGACTTTATTTCAGGCTTTGATTCTGTAATTTTTCATCTCTTTAAAAGAGTTAATATCATTTTAATTACCCTTATTTCGCCCTCCAATTTCTTGCTCAATCAATCTTTGTATCAATTAATTACCAACTTATTATTCTTTCTCTTGCTGATATTTCAAATAATTGCTGTTTGCAAAAAATGATTGGGTTTGAAAAGTTTATTCTGTGGGTGTACTTGACGAAAAGTAAACAAAAATCTGAGCCCAACCGCGATTGCGGCTTAAATAGTTTTCCAAGCCGTTGTAATAGCCAGCCACCGCTCTTACCATTTTAACCACTTAACCCCATACTGCCAACAGCGAACCATTCAGGCCGAACCACAACTCGGCGAGGCACTGTGGGGAAAATCGTTGATTTCTCGTTTAAATCTGTGTTAAATTCTGTGAGTGTGAGTTTTATTTTACGTTTTAGTGGCAGTAAAATCCCTGATTTTTTCAGACAAATTATAATTAATATTTTATTAAGTAAATTTAAAGGGAAACTTACTTCGGGAAGCAATAGCCTTTGGGGCTATTACCGTAAAATTTCAATCGTACTTTTGAGTCGATATTTATATGCCAATTTTTTTGGTAAAATTTAAAAAACTCATAACAAAGCCAAAAATGCATTAATTTCAATTCGGAAAGCGTTCCTATGCTAGTTTTAATTAGGTTAATAAATCTGCATACCCAGTTTACAATTTCAGAAAATTAAAATTTTTACCAATTTTTGAAAATTTTAATGATGTAACCCCTTATAAAATTTTAAAATTTTGAAAATTTCTCAAAAATTTATTTTTTGACCGGACATGGTTAGATCGATTTGGCTGTTGATTCTGATCAATAAAATATATGATTTATGGGTCGGAAATGACTTCTTCACAGTATTACAAGCTTCTGACTAAAATTATACTACCCTCGGAAGGATATACAAACAATTAACATTAAGCATTTTTAATAATTTTAACTTCTGAATGATTAGAATCCAGTAATAGTTTGGTTTTTCATAAATTTCTCTTCTCTTTGCCCAATAATTCAATGAACTAATCGGTATGAAAAATTGGTACGAATTTATCTAAATATCTTCCTATAATACAACATAAACTAACACTTTTCTCCCATTGTACGTAAGATGCTTCCTTTGTTGTCTTATTTCATTTAACGTTGGACCATTCAGGATTCCACGACGTCTTCGAGACGAAGCTTTGTCTTAATTTCCAGTGATAAGCCGAAGAGGGTGTCCCAGCCCCGCTCCGCCCCGTCAAGGTCCACCCACACTTCCAACGCGTTCGAGGGGATTCGTCATGCGAGGCAACATGTTCGATGCGGCTGGCGCGTTCGCTCTTTCCGATTTCAAATTCCATTTCAGTTTGTCGTCGTCGCTCATACGCAACGTTGGCCGGGCGGATAAGAAGCAAAAACTCAGCAGCCGCGGCATTTGTTTAACTAATTTGTTGTTGCTCTCGACGCGTGTGCTGCGGGCAAAGATTGTGCGTGGTTTGAAAAATTATCAAAAAAGAAAAATCATCAAAGGGAAATTTTTGTGAAATGCCAAGCATTTCGTGAATGAGAAAAGTTACACTGAAATGATTAAATGTGCGTTAAATGCTGTGTATTGAACACATTTATCAACAGTGAAATCGAGAAGAAACATATCCCAAAACACTGCTGCGATTTAATTGCCTCGCCAACAACATTTTTGACTGGTAAATGGCTTTTGAAATCCCTCCCTTGTTTACATTTTGTAAAGAAACTGTCTGGTTTGTTGTAAAACTGTGCGTTTCGCTGTTCATCAAAAGTTTTGAAATTTTTATGAGCTGCTTTCTGATTTGTTTACGAAAGGTTTCAGTGGTATTTGATTTTTGAATATATTTCCGACGATAAGTTCGAACTTATCTTAAACGCACAAAGGTCGCCCTGATATCAATATCAGACTGAACTAATATAACTTATCTAACTCCGGTTGACTTTTGACTAAGCTGAACAGAAGGTCATCGTTTTCGTTTTGTGGGTTCGCACCACTAAAAATAAGTATTATTTCTCTGCAAAATTTTTGAGCTGCCGGAAATGGAAATAGCCAGCTTTTGTGTTGCACAAAGTCCTCGAAAAGGTCAACCCGGACTTTCCAACTCTGGCTATGGGTTAATACTACTTTTGCTAAAGGTTGCATCACAAAGTTGCTCTCATCAAAGTTTGCAAGTCAAATGAAAATTTGTGAAGAGATCTTGAGGCACAGGAGTTTACCACAGCTAATATATTTATTCCTGATCAGATATTAATTTGAGTCAGAAGCTTAGCACAACTAGAAATGACTGCTTAAATGCTTGCTTTACCCAGCAAAATACCAAGAAGTTCTTAAGATTGAATACATCAATATTTTAATCATTTCCTAGGAGAAATGCAAATCTCGAGTGGATTTTACACTTCCAATTTAAGTGAAACTAATGAAGAACTAAGATATGCATAGAGTTTGCAATGTCTTTCGCAAAAAAGGGCAAACAGCATGGCCTTTGGAATAACGAAGTAAATACAATTAATTTATTTTGCCATTGTTATACACTCGGGAGTTCTCATTAGCTTTGGGCAGCTACGCCTTTGGCTTTTCACCAGGTTTTTCTTTACCGTCCATTAATAATTAATTCGCTTCCAATTTACTGCAAACATCTGAAACAGGTTCAGAGTTCAATTGAGCTTAGACCAAAGCCAATTGCAATTCCCATTTTCCCTGCCAATCCCTCCTCTATTTGTCAATCGCTTTCAATTACATTTCATTTACGCCCAGTGATTTGCAGGCATTCCCTCATTTGGTCAACATTTCTTGCAGTTTTCCCCAACTGCCTCCGGGAAACTTGTGGTTGTGGTTTATTTACTCCTCGAGCTTCAGCTTGGCCACCGCCTAATGTCCTTTTACTGCCGAATGTAGTTCCACGTTTTATTACCTAATTAAAGTCGAATGTCGCATTAAATTTTCTGCAGTCGTAAAAACCGAACCAAGCACCGAAATCATTTTCTATTTATTTAGTTTAAACTTCGAGCGGAGCGTAAAAAATGTCTGCTGATGATGAGGCGAACACTTGAAAGAGATTTATGGCACCGATTTATTGATGAGCCGAAAAAGACGTTTGCCAAATGAGCCTTGATTGAGAGCTGAATAGAATGATGGCGGCAAGGAGGAAATGTAGGAGAAGGTGGAGGTGGGGCTGTTGTGTCCCCAACCCCACCCAGGATGCCAAACAATAGCCACACTGCACGTGTGCGCCTGTCCGCGTCCTTGTATATTTGCCTTTCCTGCACTTTTCCCGCCACCGTGGCGATTCTCATCTGCAAATGGCACTAATGTCACGCTGATGATTTTTAATTGAGTACAGCCTACTCTCAGACACACACACTCAACACACACACACACATGGCTTTGAGGCTATAAATCTAACACACACACACACCATGGAGACCCCCTGCATCACTCATCGATTGAGGCACATGGCACAGGCGTTGCTTTCCCCAAACCACCAACATTTTTCCAGGGGGAAAGCCACATGGTCACATGCCCAAAAGTTGTGCCTTTCTTTTGCCTAATGCACTGAGAGAAAATAATAAGAGACTAGCGTATCACAGCTTTTTGATTGGGGAAACTATAGAGAAACTAGAATAACGATATCATGATCAGCGGTTAAAGGTAAACAACATTTAACCTTTTATAGTAGTTTGCAGTGACTTTATTCAATCGTAAATCTTTCTTATGACTCTCCAAGAAGGTGTAATCTTAGTTTATAGTGACTAATAAATACCCGAGATTTACGGGATATTTTACTAATAGAAATTATGATTGAACGTTGCTGCGGCCTAAATTATTTAAAAAGCTTGAAAAACTAACTTAACTTTTATATTTAACTTACTTAATTTACCTACAGAGGTCTTAAATATTATTAATTTTTAAGTTGCCTTTGAGGAATCATAAAAATATTTACCAGCTTCTAATCTTTTTCCTGTATTATGTAGTGTCATTTTAATTTAACAATAAACCCAAAAAAATAAATGTTTGATTTTATCTTCAATCACTTGATGAATCATAAGCAATTGAAAAAGGGTTTCATCATGCCCACAGAGCATTTTCATTTCAACACATTTTCCCAACTTTTGTTGATTAAACAGATTATATATTTTGATACATTTTGCTACTGGGGCAAACTGTGATTATGGAAGCCAAATCAATTATGATAATATAATTCAATGCACTACAAAGTACTTGAATGAAGCTAGTATCTATTGATAACATTCAATGACTGTGGCCTGTGGGTTATGTGTTTGCTCTATAGTTTTGCTGCTCTATAGTTATGCATCTGAGAAGGAAATTGAATAGGTTTTACTTAAGGTTTGTGGTTTTCCCGAAGGCATCTCAATTTACATGTTTTCGGTATTTAGAGAGAGAGCACCAAGTATGAACCCGTAAAGTAAACTGGACCTAATTAAATGTACATTTCCAGCTAAGCTAGCATAACATCTGAGGTTGGCATTTCCTGAAATTTTCTCTCTGTTCGCAGTCTCGGTTGATGGTTTCATGACTTGTGCGCTTTGCATGTGAGCTAGCCATTGTCCTGCTGGTCCTGGTTCCTTTATGCCACTGCCACCACCACCTCCTCCTGCTCCTCCTCCTCCTTTCCCAACATGTGAGGCATGGCACTCGCTTTTCCCAACATTTTCCCACCCCCATTCACTCACTGGAGGCAAACAATTAGTGCAGGTTGTTGTTTTTGTTTCGTGTGCGTGTTTGTGCAACTGTGTTTAAACAGTTGGCGTCAAAATTATAATTAAAACGTGCATCAAAGTCGTAAGCGGCACAGCACAGCATGTCACAATTTGTTATTGTTGCAGCCGACGGGCACATCACAAAATTTTGTGATTTATCGGCAAAAGCTACTCAACCTTCCTTCTCTTGAGCAGCCCAGCACTTGACAGTGCGTCCTTGTGGCTTAATTGAATTTTTATTGCCAAGTTTGCATAATGTGAGCCTGTGCCAAAGACCCAAGGATCTGCCGCTGCCCCCTTGTCGTCATCGTCCTCGTTGGTCCAACGCGTCGTATACGTAATCCCTGCGAATTACGCATACGCCGCGTCAGCTCGAAAAATTTCGCTCAAATGCAGTGACCCATTAAGCTCCGATAAGCAACTGTAATAGTAGCTGCAAACAGCAGCGACCACAAATAAAAATAAAAAATAAAAAACAAAAGAACTAGGGGAAAAGAGAGAGCGTGTCAGGGAGGCAGGTTACTGTGGCAGGACATGTAATAATCAACTAACAAACTAACTAACTATTTTTCGCTGCAGTTGGTCGAGATTTTGCGATAAGCTCGCTTTCCTGCGGCTACCCAGTGTGGAAAATGCCGGGCATTTTGGACAAGGGAGGGGGATACCAGACTAAGGTTTGACTAAGGTTTTTAATACCCTTGCAGGGTATTATAATTTTAGTCAGAAGCTTGTAACGCTGTGAAAGAATCATTTTTGACCCTATAAACCATGTATATTATTGATCAGAATCAACAGCCGAATCGATCCAGCCATGTCTGGTCAAAAAATAAAATTTCGAGAAATTTTCAAAAATTTGCAAAAATTTCAATTTACCAAAATTGTAAACTGGATATGCAGATTTATTAACCTAATTAAAACTAGCATAGGAACGCTATCCGAATTGAAATTAATGCATTTTCGGCTTAGTTATGAGATTTTTAAAATTTGATTTTACCAAAAAAAATGGCATATAAATATCGACTCAAAAGTACGATTTAAATTTTACTGTAATAGCCCCAAAGGCTATAGCTTCCCGATGTAAGTTTCCCTTTAAATTTACTTCATAAAATATTATTTATAAATTGCTTGAAAAAATAAGGAAACATCGTTTAAATTTTCAAAACTTGGCAAAACTTTAAAATTTTAAATTTAGTATGTAGATTTATTAATCTAACAAAAACTAACATAGGAACGCTTTCCGAATCAAAATTAACCCTTTATTGGCTTAGTTATGAGTTTTTAAAACTTTGATATTTCAAACAAAGTGACAAAGAAAATTATAGATTTAAAAATGCGAATATTTTAAGCTTACCTATGATTGATTTTCGATGCAATCCTAATATTTAATTGCAAACTGCTAAGGTATAAAAACTTCGGCTTCCATAAGTTAGTTTCTTTTTAGTTTTATTTATCATTAAAATTGTATGAAGTCAAATTTCTGTGTAACTTTCATTGGGAAAGTTCTCTTGGCGGTCTCTAGATATAGATTTAATTAATATTTCACCCATTCTTAGTCCAGCAAAAGGTATAAACTTGAATAATCTATATATCTAAAAATGCTCTGTTCGTGTCTACATCCTTCATAGACTTGAAAAGTTCTGAACCGTTTAAGCCCAAATTTTTACACAACATGCGTTGAGGTTCCAGCTCGGTTATTGTCTACTTTTGATGTTGATAGCTTATCTGCGGTCGCGAATATATCAATTTTTTTAGCGTTTCCCCGTGCCCCTACTGCTGCGCCCTCTACAGGCAGCCAGCTGAATCAAAGCATTTCCTGTCAAACATTCAAAACATATTGAAAGAAGAAATTGGAGATACAAATTTTATTTTTTTGTTCAGGTTCAGTAAGAAACGAAGTCATGCCACCAAAGAAGTCGAGATTGGGTCGTCGTATTCGCAATACAGAAGCAAAAAGACGTAA